AGCTGATACCAAAGGTCTCAAGCAGAAAAAAAATGCTTTGAAGACAATGATGGCAGCATTGTGTACAAATATTCTTGACACAATGGATGGATGTATGGATTGTGGTAAGAGTTGTACAGTTAAAAAAACTGTATTTAGATGAGACACTTAAAAAAGAAAAAGCCTGAAAAATAAAAGTATTAAACTAAAAAAAAAAATGGAGAAAGGGGGACATTGTCCACATTTACTCTAAATCCTAGGAAGGTTCACAAAGGGGCCATGAAGGAAAGGTAGTTGGTATTGAACCCCAAGACTCCCACTAGGTCGACGAGCCAGCTGATGCCAGCCAGATGACAGGCAGGCTGGAAGAGCACGGCCCGGGTCTGGCACTGATGCCCTGCAAGAGCCTCTGAAAGGGAACAATGAGAGCTTATCTGGCACGGAGCAACAGTATCCCAAAACAAGCTCGGATGAACCATATGATGCGTCTCTTTAAGACATCAATAAGCTTTATCTAACAACTAGCATGCATGCACACGCGCACACACACACACACACACACGAGTGCCCAGAGGGGTCGTTGGAAGTGCATGTGAATCCGACTCCCAAGCAGTAGGGGACTCACTCGCCATTTTCGTTCAGTGTGACACGGATCTCAGGAAGAACAGATCATTTTATCTTTACTTGGCCCAGCTCTGTGTCACCCACCTTTAGAGTCATCTGAAGAACCAAATCCAGGGCTTCAAGTCATCTTCAACTCACAGGGCCCTACAGAAAAGTCCTGAGACTATAAATCTTTACTGGAGCAGATCGCCTCACCTTTCTCCTACGGCACAGCGGATGGGTTTGAACCACCAACCCACTGCTTAGTAGCCAAGTGGCTTCACCGCTGCGCCACCAGGGCTTTCTAACCATCCAGAGTGAGGTGATTATTTTACAGATGGGGAAAGGAAGACATGAGAATGTTGAACTTGCCAGGAAACGGATCAGTAAACCAATGGGCCAGAACGGGAAGTTTGAAATCCAGAAGTCTTCCCCAGAAGACAGGCCACGCCCCATTAGAAGCCAGAGGAAGGAGAAAAGGTATCTATCCTATGAGAGTTTGTGGAGACAAGCATTACAGAGGGAGTTGCAAATGGATCCCCAAGTTACAAGAGAGAAAACTGAGAGTGCAGAGGCTTCAAAGGAGCTTGGCAAAGGAAACGTGTCATCAGTCAGCCAGGTAGCAGGGGTGGGGTGGGGGTCTCGAGAAAGAGTTCTGTTTTGTTTTGAGAGAGAAAGAAGAAGAAGGTTGCGTTTTGATCTCCCACGCCACTCTCTGCCAGAGGGTGCGGCGGAGGAGGAAGCGGAGGTGGAATAGGCGGAAGGCCAGTGAGATAGGCCTCTCTTTGCCCGGAATTGGGGAAGTGCACTAGGCTGCTAACACACACCTGGAGAGCAAGAGACTAGCTAAGACTGCACCTTCTCCCTTCCATAGTAGAACCAAACCCAAACTACACAGAACCAAAAAATAAAGGAAAAAACCAACACTGATCCCTTTGCCAAGTCAATTCCAACAGCCAGCAGCCCACAGGGCACAGCGACCCGCTGTCCCGTAGGATTTCCAAGGCAGGGACCTTTCTGAAAGCGGACGGGCACATCTTCGTCCTGGGAGTGGCTCGGTGGTTCAACCAGCTATCTTTCGGTGAACAGTGCAGAGCCCTGACTGTTGCACTGCCAGCCAGGACTCTTGACAGCAGAGCACAACGCCGACCCCAAAAACTCACTGCCTGCAAGTCCATGCCAACTCACAGTGACCCTACAGGACAAAGTGCGCCTGCCCCTGTGTGTTTCCAGGACTGTGCTCCTTACGGGAATTGAAAGCCTCATCTTCCCCCTGTGGAGCGGCTGGGGGTCTCCAACTGCTGGCCTTGAGACGCGCAGCCCAGCTCCTAGCCCAGGATGCCACCAGGCTCCTTATCGTGGAACAAACGGGCCTTAATCTTGAAAGCCAGATGTAGAGGTGACTGTCAGAATGCCAACCAGTGGACAAGAGACTCTCCTAGTGGGCGAGGGGCACACCCCCAGCAGAGCCTGGGTGGCGTGGACTTCTACAAGCCTGAAGCTGTCAGACTTGCGAGCAGCTGAAGGAGAAGGTGGCCGGAGAACTGCAGTACAAGGGGCCCCGGGGAGGAGCCAGAAAGGCCCATGGGAACATGCTGTTAAACAAGGAAAGGCTTCCCGAAGCATGGCAGGCTAAACATCCTGGTGTCCACCAGTAAACCACCGACTGGATTCTGAACAAGGAAACAACCCCTATTACTGTCTCGCTGAGCCCAGATGTGAGCAAAAATCCCCAAGGGGGCCAAGAACGAAAAATAGAACCCGGGCAGTAAACTCAAAAAAGCAGGGAGGGTTCCACAAGGGTCTGGGCTGCTTCCAAGGCGACCTTCAGGTAACTGGGCCCTGGGGTCAGGTGAGGGAATGAAAATGCAACTTTGGCTTAAACTGGGGCACCTGCAAAGGAGGCGGGAGGTGTCAGAACCTCGGCACCCATGAATCCTAGCAGACGCAAAACCAGATACTCTCCGAAGGAAAAGGTCCCTGTTACATCCTACGGTTTTATTTACAGAATAAAATCAATCAAACGCGAATTAACAATGCATGTTTGCCAACTACACAAGGAAACAAAACCCCACGAGTCAAAAACAAACAGATTCAGATGACCAGAAATCACACTCACCTGCAGCAGATGTAAGGACCAACGTGCTCCCTTGCACGTAAGGCTGGACCCCTTCTGTGAGGTGCGGGTGACTTCTATCCCAAGATGATGGAATTGGCAGGCCCTGGACTTTGGTTAGGATCTCTTGCTGTGCAGGTGCCCAATGAATGGTGGCCTGGGACTGCTGTCTATTTATGATTTCAATGCTCTCCTTGCTTTCTTGTGAACTACCCATATTTTACTCTGGGTATTACTTGTATCTGGTAAAACATCTATTATTCTGGAAGGCATGGATCTGCCTTTGTGAATGAATGTTATTGAAAGTTTTGCCCTCTCACTAACCCCTCTTGGTTGGGTCCAGTCACCTAAGAGTTTAATCTGTCCAAGTCAACTATTCGTGCATTGCAACCTGTATAGTTGTAGTTTTCTTTTCACAGCAGTGTTTTAAATTCTCTATGATTGGTTAAGTGAATGACAATATCAGTAGAATTACATTCATGTCCTAGGGAGATGATTTAAAATGGTCCTAAGCATAAAAGGTCAATAATATCTCTAAAGTGAACCAGAGAGACATATAAACCATAGATATATAAATGGATTGTGGGGCTCACACTTAATTCTAGCCTCAGTTTATGAGCAATTAGTTCTTACAACCCGGCTTTGCTCATTGCTCCCCTCATGAAGACATCACTAAATATATGGGTGCTAGAGCAAAGGGTGGTAAAGAAACCAGGTGGTGTTCCCCTCTCAGCAATAACAGCATCTGGGGTCTCAGAGGCTTGTCTTCAAACATGCAGCCATCTCAGTGAGGTGCCAACTACGTCCACATGGAAGAAGCACATTGTGATCCAAGCATTATAAATAGTAAAATCCAAATCTGGAGAGAAAGGTATCAGCGCTTAAATCCTAAACGCTCCTTTATAGAAGGCTATGGCAGCCCAAACTCCATTTGCAGAGTGCTCACCTGGATGAAACCTCCCCTGCGTCCCCTCCGACCACTGTCCAGGGATGTGACCAGCCTTGTATCAGAGAGAGCCTTGTAAAGTTCAGTAAGGCAGATATAGAAAGGTTGAAATGTAATAAATACTCCCATCAGGTGATCCCTCTTTAGACCCATTTTTAAGTTGTTTCAGTTTTTCATATTTTCTTCTGCTGTCTTTTCGATTGCAGTTTTCCCGTGTTTTGTTTAGTCATTGTTACTGGCTTTTGTGTTTTGTTGTTTTCTGCATATAAAATCCAGGATGGGTAGAGCCATGAAGACAGTAACTGGATTGAAATCTGCCTGGGGGCACGGTAGGGGAGGGTGGGGGGGAAATGAGCCAACAACAAGGTACCGAGATGAAAATATTCCGAAATTGATTGTGGTGAAGACTGCACATCTTTTTAATTATGACTGAAATGATTAAACTGTGTGGTGTGTGAAATATATGCCAATAAAACCACTTAAAACCTGAAAAGACATAGGCAGTGAATTAAGCAACAGGAAGGGTTCTGTAAAGGTTAGAGCTGATTTTAAGGCAGCCTTCGGAGACTGGGCCCTGGGGTCAGGTGAGAGAATGAAAAGGCATCTTTGGCTTACACTGGGGCACCTGGAAGGGAGAAGGGCCGGTCTCAGAACCTCAGCGCCCCATGAATATGAGCAGAAGCAAAAATAGATACTCTCTAAAGCAGTGATTCTCAACCTTCCTCATGCCGTGACCCTTTCATACAGTTCCTCATGTTGTGGTGACCCCCCAACCATAAAATTATTTTCATTGCTACTTCATCACTGTAATTTTGCTACTGCGATGGATGAATCGGGGAACCCCTGTGAAAGGGCTGTTCGATCACCAAATGACCCACAGGTTGAGAACCGCTGCTGTAAAGGAAAGGGTACAATGTTTAAGCTCTAGGGCTTAGCGATTAATAAATCCCTAAGTGCCTAGGGATTTATTTACAGAATGAAATCAATCAAACGTGAGTTAACAATCACCGTTTGCAAAATACATCTGGAAACAAAACCCCACGAGCGAACCAAAGCAAATGACAAACAACGGATTCAGATGACCAGAGACCAAGCCCACTGCTGCCCAGTGCCTTCCACCTCCGAGCTGCCCTGAGACGGAGTAGAACTGCCTCCAAGGTCTCAAGGCCGTCCTCTGTACTGAAGCAGACAGCCACACCTTTCCCAGCGGGGCGGACGGTAGGTTCGAACCACTGACCTTTCGGGTTAGCAGTCAAGCACATAGCTTCTGAGCCCCCAGGCTTCCCCCTTTAGATTGCTTTACCATGGGCCTCAGCTCTCTCAAGGATCAGACCCAGAATACGTAAGGTAAATTACCTGTGAAATACGAAAGGTGGACTCCAAATAAAAATACATTCAAAAACCAAGTAACTAGTAGCCATCAAGATGACCAGGCGGGGTGACCATGAGCCAAAGGTAACTTGTACAAATTCAGCCACCAGGTCTCCTGCCCAGGCGGTCTACTCTGTGGCATGTGGCATCAGAATGGAGGCGGAGTGACAGAACGGAGGTGAGCTGCAGCAACACCACCCCGGGCCCAGGGAGGAAACGCCACGGTGAGGGGAGGCAATCAGGGGCAGGATCAAACACACCTGCTCCCCACAGACAGGCTGGTCGCCCATTGCTGCTAGCCTTTGAAGGGGTGAAGTTTCTGACGTTCTAGTAACACGTGAACGTAATGAGCATTCTAATTAGTATTCTGTGGAGCCCCTGTGATTTCACCTTGACCACCACTGGCCTAGGTAGGAAGTCAGAGACCTGTGATTTAGCCTTCGGGCACAAACCGTTTGTAACAAACGCTTCTTCTTTACTCCTTTGCAAGGGTATCTCCCACCATTTCTGCCCACAGCATGAGAGACCACAGACGGCTTATGCACATACAGAGAGACGTCCGAGTGCAGTGATCATCTCCCACGCCTACTCTCCACTCCACCCCGCCACTCCCATTTCTCATGTCAAAGTAGTAAGCTGCCAACGTGTGAGAAGCATCTGTGCTCACCCCTCCTTTAGCGTCCTATAGAGGCGTGTGGTGAGACACTCTCCTCCGCCAGGCAGCCAGAGAGAGGAGGAGATACTGAATAACACCCAAGGGAAGGAAAATCCCCTTTACAGCTGGTTTAAGTCATGCCGATAATGTGCACACAGCATTCTGCATTTACCATAAAGCGCCTCAATTAGTTCATAGACAAGTTAACCTTCTAACTCCCAGAAAATATAATTCATGCACATTTTATACCATGCAGCATCCTGCTGGCTATTATCCATCATTTACAAGTGTTATTTGTCTATAAAAATGACACTAAATTTTTGAAAAATGAGACTGCTCTGCCTGCTTCTGGCTGTGTTTTAACAAATGGTACCGACGCAGAAGGCTCTAAGTCACATGAGGTGCAATTAGTCAAAGAAGCCATAAATATTTTTTAAAAGGCTATAAATGATAGCTTGTCCTGATAGCAAAACGTCTGTGGGCTGAGATGTAATAAGGGTTAACAAGAAAGAGTACACTTCATTATTTATTGTTAATAAAGTTAATCAAATTCAGTGCTTCTTACTCGTGCATACACTGAACCAGAAACATGAGTATGATATGCAGATTTATGGAAAACAGCCCAAAAGATCATTACCTCTAAAAGAAAATCTAGCAAGGGATGAATGAAATGTAGTTGTTAGCCTGTTACAACACAAATTGCTTTGTTTAGTTTAATTAAAAATGATTAAGCTAAATAATATTTTCCACAACTGACAACCAAGACTAACACATGAATTCCAAGATTCGTGTTAAAAGAATTGGGGGTGGGGTTAGGGGTGTGGAGTCAGACCCCTCCCCCTTTCCCCTTTTCCTGGCGTCTTACCCACCTAGCCCACCGTACTTGTCTTCTTCCACTCAAAAACCTATCCTCAAAAGATATCCAGCATCAAGATCTTTTGAAGCCAAAATTAGATCAGCATAAGCTCATCAATCAGCAATTTCTAAATGCATTATCTTCAAGTGGCTTGGTCTTTTATGTCACTTATCTACTTAAAATTAAGTGTAAAAGAGTTTCCAAGAAAAGAAGATATAAAATTAACTTCATTTCATAATAAGTTCTCCAATCACGCCGGCAGACAGCTGACATTATTACAGCTCACACTTATAAATCAGTGATTATATACACTAGTTAAGCAAGAAAAGAAATGAAGAAGGCAATTACATAGTGGTGTAATTCCCAAGAAGCACATTGGCAGGCAATGTTGCTAAACAGGAGTTCACTCGTGGTAAAAAGACACCCCACCCCATCCCCAAGAACTTTGGGGGAGGGGTTGTGATTTCTGAGAAGCAGAAGATGTCTAAGCGTTTTGAATGAGTACTAAAGAGAGGAGGTCTATGTCTCACTATCAGATAATAACAGTAGACAGAGTCTGTAAGACATCACTGAACTGTAACTCTAACGCATGCTACTACTTACGCTGAAGTTGGATTGTAGCGTTTGTTCTCAACCTTCCTAACACCAAGACACTTTCATACAGTTCCTCGTGCTGTGGTGACCTCCGACCATGAAATTATTTTCATTGCTTCATAACTGTCATTTTGCTACTGTTATGAATCACCGTGTAAATATATGATATGCCAAGATGTGTTTTCATTGCTATAAAGTGAATATCATTAAAGCATAGTGATTAATCAAAAAACAATATGTAATTATATATTGTGAAATATTTATTTCTAATTACAAATCAATGAAATTTTGTCTTGAAGCATGGTGTAGCATGGGTAACAGTCTTCACACTGGGTACTCCTAGGTGGGCGTATCTGCATGTGGGCGGACCCGCCTGGAGACGGATAGAGGAGCGGTGTCTCGGTTCCTAAGACCACCAGAAATAGGTGTTTTCCCATGGTCTCAGGCGACCCCTGTGAAAGGGTCATGACCTACAGGTTGAGAACGGCTGCTGTAAACCATCATACAAATGGTCCTGAGAGCTGGGACATTGGAGAGATGAGCACAACTCGCTATCCATACCCTTCTCCCTTCTCCATGCCACTTGAAGACGAGCTAAAATGCCACTCCCTAATCTTATTTTCCATCCCTTCGATGGGTTTCATTAACTCCTCTTTTGTTGCACAGTTAAATACCCCAGGACCTACAGCTACGAGGCGTCGACTATACATGCATGTGTTTGTAGTTCAGGCCACCCAGTGTGGTCCCTCTTAGTCCTTCATTTCCAATGACCCCATGGCACTGCAGCCCAGCAGCGCTCAGCACAGTGGTTAGCATCACTGCACAGATAAGGACGTTCTGGCTTCCATCTGCTATGAACCTCCTGACGACTCACTCCAAATGAGCACGCACCAAGCGCTTAGAAGCATTTCACGTTTTGGTTGATGCTAGAGGCCACAGAGCTTGGCCCCAACATACGGTGACAGAGCAAAATGCTGCCCTCTACTCACACCATTCCCCAGGCTCAGGGGCAGACAGAATTGTCATGGTCCATGGGTGTTCATGCACTAATTTTAAGACAAGTTTGCTGGGCCTGCCTTTCTTCCCGGTCTGCCTTAGTCTGAAGTTCTGTTGAATCCTGTTCAGTATCAGAGCTTTACACAAACCCCGCCCCCCTCCACGCCCCCGCCACCACCACTACCACCACCAGAGGACTAAGGTTGATGACGGTGGATGAGGTGCACCGCACAGGAACAGAACCCAGGTCTCCCGCGTGCAAGGCAACAATTCTCCCACGAACCACAGTATTTCATAGCCCCCCGCCTTCAGTGTGCACCTCGGCCAAGGGAAGCAAGACTCCCTGCATTGAATGGGTTCTGACGGGTAAAGGTCACACTGGTCCACACTGACACTGCACAGAGGAGAAACGAGCGACAGGAATTCAGAGAACTTGGCAAAGGTCTGAGTGTGTCTTCCATTGTGTAGGGGGACCTGGAGGGGATGGCACTTCTTCCCATCTTCAACTCCAGGGGGTGCCCTGAAGGAGACTAGGAGCCCTGGGAAGTAGCGCTGATACTTTGGGCCGCTAACTACAAGGTCTGCCGTGCAAAACCTCCAGCCACTGCTCCGGCGAAAGAGGAGACTTTCCATTCCCATCAAGGTACAGTCAGCCAGGTTGGCATGATGCCGTGGGGCCCCCAGAGATACTGTGCCCTTCCTCCAGTCTGCGGGCCCCTTTATGTGCTTCCCTCCCACCTAGATCTTTTTAAGATCTGTCCACACTTTCCCTTCTCCAAACAAAAAAAAATAAAAAGGAGGGTTGGGGAGAGGGGCTGTTTGTTAAAAAAGCCAGGGAAATCCCACCCAAAACCAACAGCCACCGAGTCTGCTCTGAGTCCCGGGAACCCCTGCGTGAGTTGGAGAACAGCGGTGCCCCATGAGGCTGTCAGGGGTGGCACTGGAGTGCCCAGCCTTTTGGTCAGCAGCCATCAGAAGCATTAGTGAAGTACACCACTCCCTCACCCCAGGGAGTTGTGAAAAGTGGATTTCTTGCAGCCATCTCCAGCCAGAGGAATTACTGGGTAGTCCACAGGGGTAAGTGCCCCCCTATCCACTTCCTTCCTTAGAGCAAATGGAACCACACAAATCTGAGTGCACACGTGGGTGCACACGCCCCTCTCCAAACTCATCTGAAGTCAATTAAGAGAGTCGTTTCGGGTTGTCCGGCCCAGCCCGGCCCTTCTAAAGCCAGAATCCGCTGGCCAGCATTCCTGATCACTCCGCCCTGTCTTGACGAATGGTCACAACAAAAGGAAACAAAACGAAACAGAAATTAAATAATAAAATAAAAATTAAATGGTACATCAAAAAAAGAGCTCATATTCCACTAAGAAGCCAGCCACGGTGATGACCAGAGCCATCAATAATCCGCAATAGCGGTGCACTGTTTCGGGGAGTGCACTTCTCTGGTGGCCTCAAAACAGCAGGCAGCCTGCATTTTCTGCATCCTTCCACACAAAGTAGAGCAAGGGCATGGACTAACCCTATTTCACAACAGATCGAGGGCCTCGGAAGCGAAAAGCCTTGTCTTAAGCTCTACATTGGTGGGAAGGTAGACCAGACACATGAACTCAGGCCTCCAAACTCTTAACAAATACTAGCTCAGAAGAGACATAGAAAAGTCAACACACAAACAGGAGTGTCAGCTGTTATTTACACTGCCCACAATAAATGTTTGCTCCAGGAGAGGGGGGCGGGGGGAATAGTTCAAACAAGATGGGAAACAGTTTAAATACAAAAGGCTGAAGGGCTCAACAGAGGAAGGAAATATGTTTGCTTTTAATACAGTGGAGAAACTACTCAGGAACAGTGTGTTCTTCTCCTGGAGAGACGGCCTTGGCGTTACTGCCGAGA